CAGTTCTCAGAAAAATATTGAAACAGTTTTTAAAAAACGTCTTAAAAAAGTCGAATCAGAACAAGCCCATAATGAGCAAATGTTGCATCATTTCTAAATAAAAATACATGAAAACAGTTTTTGAAAAATATAATGCAAAAAATGGAAACGGAACAAGCCGACGAGCAAGTGTTGCACCAGTCCTCATGAAATATATCGATCGAAACACTTCTTTTTAACGTATGAAAAAACATTTAAACAGAGGAAGACACTATACCGTACGAACAAGTGTGATTGCGTCAGTTTCCAAAAAATTACTGTATATTGAAACAGCTTTTGAAAAACATATTGGAAAAGTATTGAAACATAACAAGCCAATATGATCAATTGTTGTGTCGGTCCTCAAAAAATATATTGAAACAGTTTTTTAAAACATATTTAAAAAAAATTGAAACAGAACAAGACAACGTATGAAAAAGTGTTGCGTCAGTTCTCAAAAAAATAGCTAAACATTTTTTGAAAACACATTCAGAAAAATCGAATCAGAACAAGCCAATGAGCAAGTGTTTCATCAGTTCTAAAAAATATATATGTAAGAACAGTTTTTTAAAACATGCTGAAAAAAATTTAAACAATAACATGAACAAGTGTGGCGTCAGTTCTCAAAAAATACATTGAAACAGTTTTTTAAAAAGATATGAAAAGAAACGCAAGCAAAAAATAGTGGATTTAAAATTGAAATTGCGAGGCACTTCTGACAATAAAGTTCGAGTTCTTGAATTTCTGAATTTAATGAATGAAATTAAAAAGATTAAGCCATTTTTCTCAGTTCCTTAAAATTTTTAAGAACGTTAAAAAGTTTAAATTACAATTTCTATGAAATATCAGCATCTCTTGGCCTAAAATTGCGTCATGTGAAACAACTTTTAAGGTTGATCGAGTCAATATTCTGCCACTAGAATTTTGTGCGACTTGCATCACCTTTTTAGCACGGGACTTCCGTGATCCAAAAAATTATATTGAAACAGCTTTTGAAAAAAATATTGGAAAATATTGAAACATAAAAACTGAGCTCCACTGACCCACTGAGCTCCACTGCAGTACAGTGAAATTTCGATCATGATATGATTATTACAGTATTAAAAATTGGCCCGCGAAATTGAACCAAACACCAGGAATATGCTTAGAACGACGGACTGCAATTTGATCCAACACGATTCACTCTCGACTGTGTTAAACTACTGTACTGTACTGAGATAATAACTACCCAAGCTGCTGATGCAAGAAATGCCACAGCATCGAAAGATAAGCGCGGTTTATATGCAGGACTCAGGTATCAGACACTGATGCAAAGGGATCATCCTGTGACACTATAGTTATTTTGACTTGAGCGAGTTGTGACAAGTCGCTCAAGTCAAAATAACTATAGTGTCCCAGGATGATCCCTTTGAATCAGGCTATTGCAGCATACAGTACTGTACAGGATATGAAATACAGCAAGTCTTCACGAGAACCATGACTAAAAACGAAACAAAAGCTCTTAATTGCATCACCATCAATTATGAAGCATTATGGTACGAATTGGGAAAATTGCGACATTCACATACTGTATTTCACAGCACGTATTAATGGAATTGATTGCTGTAATAATAATTAAACTTGTACAGTGTTACGGGATGTGTGTTATATGTATACATGTATATGTTTTACGAGTGTTTATGTGTGCATCTATGTATTTTTGATACGTGTTTGAGCGTGTGTATGTGCACGTGACAACATGGATTCCTAGTTCGAAAGCCTAAAATGTACAATGTCACAATATGCATCATCAGCAGTTTGAGTTTCTACTATATGGTTTTATAAATTATGCAGCAAAAATGGATTCAATTTACTCAAATTCATAATCAAGATGGGATAATTTATTGTTTCTCTTTAAAGTTTTTTTTCATCGTCTGCGCATGCAGAGTATGGCAAGATTTGCGTTTGTTCTTTCCTGCATTCTTCTTGTGCTCCATTTGATGACAAATGATCAGATTCTGTAGGAATATCTGTTCCTGAGGAAAAGTTGGCAGGAACCCTGGGTGGAAATTAATTGGGGGCGGTTCAATGGGGGTCGACTGTAATAAAGTAATATTATTCAATGGGATATTATATTTCAGACCCACATCAACAATTTTGATGCTTTTGAAGCTTTGGAGAACAAAGCTGAGGATGAGGCATCCCCTTTAAAGTCATACTTGTTGCGATATTCTTTCAACACGACTTCGACATTTCCGAGAAGTGTGTGTCTTCGATGCAGAGGAAGGTTTCATCCAGGAATGATGATAATTTTGCGATTTTACCACGTTTTTATGAACTCACTTTCTTGTCTGTCTGTCTGTTTGTCCGGATCAAATTTTGAAACTCAAATTTCACTCACTTCCCTACTAGCTATCAAGCTGAAACTTTCAGGATAGCCTAGAAACTGATGACAATGCAATCTTATGTGAAAAAATTAATTTTAAGAATATTTTTTAAAAAGAATAAAATAATTATAGTAGATTTCTATAATAAAACTTTGAGCAGGTTTTCCTTGGCCCCAAGAAAAAAACCCATGGTGAACTGAATTGGT